CATTAGCATAATAGGCCACACCCAACAGCAGAAACTCATTAGCATATTAGGCCACACCCACGACAGCACAGCTCATTGGCATATTAGGCCACACCCCCATGTTACCAGAAGTGTGCTCATCCAGCCACACCCACCTTTTGCTTCTTATTCTGTTTACCTTGTTTGTTGTCAAAACCCAGGGCTTTTTTTGTAGCAGGAACTCCTTTGCATGTTAGGCCACACATCCCTAATGTAGCCAATCCTAATGAGTTTCTGCTGTTGGGTGTGGCCTATTATGCTAATGAGTTCCTGCTAGGCGTGGCCAACTTGGAAGCCAGCCGTAACTCCGTTCCTGTGCGTTCCTGCCCAAAAATAGCCCTGGTTTTTTCCTATAGGACTTTTGATTGGCAGAAATTGCTGATTTGTATATTATCATGTAACCCCTGTCTTTCATTTTATGTTCTAGACAAATTTTGAACAATTATGTTGTCTTTGTGCTTGGTTTTGCATACAGTTAGCAACTTTGATTAAATATTTGAGTGGAAGGACATCCAGTTCTGCCGTCTGTTACTGCAAACTTTGTCCTGACTAGCTTTTCTCATTTGTAAGACTCTTCCTTGAATCCTTTATACCACTATAAAGCAGTAGTGCATGGAAAACACCTTGCTGTGAAGCTTGTTTGGGGAGAGACTGCAGTAGTCATGTGGGTCAGGAGGGGCAGTGGAGAAAATTGCTCCCTCCTGCCTCTTGAGCAGAGCTTTGCAGACAGAAAAGGAAGACGGTGACAATTTCCCTCCCTTTCCCCTCCACGTTGCGGCCTCCCCAACTGCTGACGGAGGGGAAAGCCGGGAAGAACTGCAATCCTTGTGTAATCCTGCTGGATCCAGCACAGTGAACCCAATGAACTGGACTTCATTCCCTGGCTGCTTAATTTTGCAGATGCCAGTCAGGCGCTTCAGAAGATATGTGTTGCATTCAGATACTGACAGCCCAGCCCAGCTTGTTCATTATTTTCTTCTGCTTTGAAGCATGCTAACTAAATTTTTAGTTAACTAAAATTGAGAGCCGGTATAGTGTAGTGCAGGGGTCCCCAACCTTTTGGAGCCTGAGGGCACTTTTGGAATTCTGACATGGCCGCTGGGAAATCAGCCTTCTGCGCGCTGTGGCCCTTACCCCGCTCGCAAAAAGATCTCCCTGCTGAAAGATTTAAAGAACCCTCCAGCTAATTGGCAGGCCACATGCTCCCCAATCAGCTGAAGCCCTTTAAATCTTTGCAGGAGGGGAGGGAGAGGGGTGGCCATGGCTTGGGGGTGGGGCTTCCCCAGCTGGCTGGTGGCAGATTGGAGCCCCCAGAAGCAGAGAACCCCTGCCAGGACCTGAGGGCTGGCAACTCTATTTGAAATCAATATGGCGTTGTGCCCTAAAAGTTACACAATTACCTCCCTCCCTCTCCCTCTTCTTATTTTTGTGTTGCTGTGGGCCTCTTAAACTGGGTCTAGCTTGTGGCCTCAGCATTCCTTAATATGGTCATGTGGAGGGTTAAATCTACCACTACTGCAAAAATCAGTTGATTTTCTTTTCTGTGACTGTTTTATACCCCAGGTGTTTTTCATGTACAAGAAAAGAACATGTGATCAGTAAGTGGCTGTACTTTGGGGGCGCCCTTTGTTCTGCTGTACAAGTGACAATGTCCTAAATGGAGAAATAGAACAAAATTTAAGTCCAGTGGCACCTTTAAGATCAACCAAATTTAATTCTGGATATACGTTTTCATGTGCATACATACAGAGAATGTTGTAGATATAGAGAAAGTTGTAGAGCCATTTCTCTATGCATTCTGCCAAAAAATAAAATGTGGAATTGGGGAGGATTTTCACCCCAAAATATTTGTAAGCAGTTAATAATAGGCTAGTTTTCACTTTGGTCAGTGTCACTGAAATTCTGAGAATATGCAGATTTGTTTACATTTAATAGATTATAACAAGTTAAAAGTCATCTGAGTAAAACATTTGACAGTGCCATTATAAACAGTGTTACACCTTTCTAAGTCCATTGATTTCAACAGACTTAGAAGAGTATAATTCCATTTAGGAATGCACTGTTAGTTATCTAACGTGACTCCTTACCTTAATAGTTAGGGGATATTAGCTAGGAGAAAGGGTATTATTGAGGAGGAAATTTGCTATGGAAAATTGCACACTTGCTAAAAGTAGTGCTTCCTATAACTCTGTGGGTATGTTCCTGGAAACAGAATACAGTGTGAAGCAGCTCTGTAGGAGATTCTGCTGAGGGATGTATTTACATTATTTCCATTTCTTATATATAAGTGACCTATCAGGGCTTTCTTGGGATGTTGGTAGTGGCACTAATATGAGTGAAGGGTTCATTTTCAATGGTAATGACCTAGTTTTGTTTTTTAAATGAACACTAGGAAGTACTCACACTAGGGAGTACTCTCCAATGCATTAGGTTGGAGCCAAACGCATAATTGACCACTGCTGCTGCTGGTCCTTCTACATAGGAGTGGTCGAAGATGATGGGAGGAGCTTCTGCTTTGAGGATGAATGAAGTTGTGACTCACCTCGTGTAGGAGAGTGCTGATTAGCCCCCTCCCCTGGCCAGAATACACTGCTGTCATTGGTATGCAGCACTAGCCAGAATATACCACCTATTGGCTGAAAGTACAGCTCCAATTGCATGTGGGACTTTTCCCCTCCCTTTTATAGTCAAATTTGCACCTAGAATGAAGAGTGATATAATGAAAATGTTACTTTTGGAATATGAGCTACCGAAAAAGAGGCTTCTTCTTGTATAAAAGTATTTTTACGCCCATGTAGACCTATCTAAAGATACTAAAGTTATTTGAACCTTTGGTTATGTAAAGGTTTTAGATGTCTAACTTTCCAGTTGGAATAAGTCTCAGAGTGAATCCATTTGTTTGATTTTCTGCATAATTACTTGAACACTCTCTACCTTTTCTGATAAAAGTCTTGCTGGGGGAGGAACTCTCAAACTACATGGATGTATTACATTATGTGAATGCTATAGTTCATTTACTTCTTACAGAATCAAAAAATTACACCTGGAGCTGGAACAGATGCAAGATGCAATACAAAATCTAAATGAACAGTTGAGACGCCTCCAGAAAGAGAAAGAAGCTTCAGATAAGCAGGTACAACTGTTGAGGTAAGAGATCTCACAGGCTGTATACAGGATATCTGATTTTTTTCCCTGCCACATGATTAGATATATTTGAAGGAATTATAGAAAGCATAGCTATGTCTGTGTGATACACTGAAACCTGTGTGTGCTGTTCCTATCAATGAGTTTGTTCATTGAAGTCACAGAGTTATACTGCAAGTACAAAATAATTAAATCTCTCTTTGGTAAGAAGGACAGCTCATCCAGGTGCTTTGGTGCATTTGTCTAACAAATTAATATATTTTTTTATATTTGTATCCTGCTTTTCTCCCCAATGAGAACCCAAAGCAGTTTACAACATTGTTCTCACCTTCTCCCTTTTATCTGGTTCCCCGCCAGGATCTTCTGTATCCTATATTAGCTCAATTCTCAGAAATTCCTGACGATTTTAAGGTTCCATTTTTGCTTGATAATTAAGATACGGAAATAACCGAAATAGTAGCAAGGTTTCTTCTTAGTGCTATGGCTATACATTCTGATAAGTAACCATTGGTTTTTCTGCTTTCATGCTGTTTTTCTGCACTGTAGCTCCAATTTTACCCTATATGGATTTGTATTTTCTGATCTATATTTAATCTGATCTCCTGTTGTATGTATATATGTAAGCCAATAAAGGCTTGTCAAAGTAAAACTCCATTTTACTATAACAGCAATCCTGTGAGGTAGGTTAGGATGGGAGACAGTGACTGGCCCAAGGTCACCTAGAGAAGCTGGTATAGCAGAGCCTGGATTAGACCCTGGTGCTCCCAAATTCTGGTCTGACTCTCTAACCACTATAACCATGCTGGCTCTATAAGAGAATTAATATAGGGTATAGACTAGCTAGTGAAAGCTGCACATCATAATTCTGCTTTGTTCCTGAAACTTAGGGATCTGCATTTGAAGCACTCACAGACAAGATATGGGAGGGAGTTGCAAAAACTTTGCCACTTGCTTTTAAGTACTGTATGTTGTTGGATATGGTTTTAATGTTTTTATGTTTTAGAACTTTGTACATCACCTAGAACCCCACAATTGTGGGGATAGGCAGTTAATAAATGGAATGTAATAAATAATAATAATAATATTGTTTGATTACACTAGGGATTCACAGATTCTCCCCCACCATGTGAATCCTTCTGTCCTCTCTTGATCCTAAAGTAGCTGGGACTGAAAGGGGGATTAGAATGGGCTCATTCTTGTTGAAAACCCTAGCACAGATAGGAAGAACATTAAATATTTCTTCATTCCCTTGCTTGCATTGCTTGCGAGTTGTACTTTGTAAGTCAAAATTTGCTCAATATCTGCTATAAACCAAGCTTCTTGAAAGACTTGTTTAAGCCTTTCTTGTTCAGAAAACTCCATAAAATGCAAGAGACTTACCAGCTGTTAGTTTGCAGTCACAATGTTAATGAAAATGATAGTGATAAGATGGCCTCCCAAGGGAAGTGAGGTGGGCCTGTCCTGTGTTGCTATTAGAAGGTGCTGCCGAGCAGTTCTTTTCCAGAGGACCTTTGCTGAACAGGTGTGATCATGATGGGTTGTGGCTATTTTCTTTCTCAGTAGCATGTTGACAGTTTGGGGCAAGGACGTGTGGGCTAAGATGCACCCGAGGGTTGCCCTTGTATTGTTTTTATTTATATTGTACATATAGGTTTCTAAAGTGCTTTGGGTCCTTTTAGGAGTAAAAGATTATTTTAAATACCTAAATAACATACTGTGTTTAAAAAAATCAATGACCAATTAATTATTGTTTCCCCCTACCAATGTTTATACAGGAAGACAGTGGAGCAGCATCAGTCATTCCTAACGAAAGCCTTTGCACTTCTTCCCTTCATCAGAGGAGAGTTAAAGGGTATTAAAGCAGACCTGCTTGGCAGTCTCCACGAATGGACCACACTCAAAGGACAGACTTCTTTACAAATCAAAAACGTGAATAAGACAGCATTGGCTGGTAAGTTTACCAGCTTACAAACTTCTCCCAGTATCTTACACTCCCAGTGTGTTGTAGTGGTTAGAGTGGCACACTGGGATCTGGGAGCCCCATGTTCGAATCCCCACTCTGCTGTGGAAGCTTGCTGGGTGACCTTGAGCCAGTCCCATACCCTCAGCGTAGCCTACCTCATAGGGTTGTTGTGAAGCTAAAATGGAGGAGAGGAGACAATGGAAGCTGCTTTGGGTCCCTATTAGGAAGACCGGGGGGTATAAATGACTATAATTCAAATAATGTTAGTTAGCCGCCTTGAGTATAACGAGGTAAGATGGAATGAACAAATTTCCCCTGGCCTTCTTAGAATGTAGAGTTCTGATTTCTTTTGTAAAATCCATTGCTGTTCTTGACTGGGGAGTATTTTACTTCCTTTCTTGCAGCATGTATGGTTTGCCTTTCTTCCCACTGTTGGTACCCAAGGCAGTTTGCAGAAGGTTGGATTATAAGCACCACCCTTGCTGGAACACTCATCTTTCCCTTTCCCTTCTGAACCTGCTATGCTTGGTGAAGTCCTGCATCTGGACCTGCTTAGAAAGGCAGAGCATAAATATATATACTGGCGGAACCTTGGACGCAGACTCTGGGCCCTGTAAGGGGGCCTGCAATGAGAGGAGGGGAACTGGAAGACATGTAGTGCAAGTGGAAGTGCTGCTTGTATTAATGGAACAAAGCACAGGCTCCAGATCAGAGTATTTCTGTATTCTGTTCTTTATATTGTATTCTTGAGTTGTTATTGTTGGTTTCAACGGGAAACATATTTCCATCTTGTAATGTCTAGATTTCTACTTACTGGGGATCAAGTGTTCACAAAGGATTGTCTATTCCCCTTCTTCTTGGTATGGGAAGCAGGGACACTGGGTCAACTTTTTTTGCTGGGGGCAGTGTGTAGCCTCTGCCCCTATCCTCTCCTTTCCCTGTCCCCTGATTTATGCAACACTGCCGGCCAGATTGTACAAGCAAAGTGTTTGCCTCAGTCAGCACCTGCAAGGAAGAACATTTTCTGGGTCTAAAAGTCCTGCACTTTCTGTTCAACACATAGTTCTATTCATCAGATGTAGCTGACTGCAGTGCGTGACTGTTGACTTTTTTTTGGTGGGTTATGATGTGAAGTAACTTGAACAAAATCCAATGGGATTTTCTGCATCACAGAAATAGCAACTGGCACCTTTCCCCTTCAGCCACAGAGGACAGAGCTGAATAGTTGTGGAATCCGAAATCTCCAAAGATGCCTAAAGGGGTAGACTTCTGCTCTGGGAGAACTTACTATACATTTGATCTTAAAGGGCAAGGGAGGGACACGTTGGCAGGCGGTGGCCGGTGGCTGCTTTCTATGCTTCCACGTTCCACCCAAAGTAACATCAGGTCCCTGTGCAAGTGTCCAACTCACTGCAGCATTTTAGGCCAGAAACAGAATAGCCGTCTGCTACAGGAATGTGATTTGAGTTGTTCTGACACTGGATATGTGCAGAAAGTCCAACAATATCAGATGTGTACTAGACAAATCCATACAAAGGAGTTGGCTTGGATCCAGTGGTGTGGAAGCATAAATGGACAGCGCAGTTCTGCTTACACAAGTTCTTTATTTTATTTATATTTTACATTTCTGGATCGCCCAATCCCTGAGTGCACAGGGCTCTGGGTGATTTACAACAGATTAAAACATCATCATAATGGCATTAAAAATGACATTAAGACCTTAAAATCATCAGTCAGTCAGTCCCAATTCAGTAGTCTCCAGATGGTGACCATAATTAATCTAAAATCCGCTCTGGACTGTTCTTCCATCTCACAGGCAGGGTAAGGAGGAGGCCAAAGCGGGTAAGATGGAAGAAAAGAGGAGGGTACCAGCTATGAAGGAAAACCATTGCTATCCTCAGCCAAAAGCCTGGCGGAGCATCTCTGCCTTACAGACCCTGCAGAATTACATTAGATCCCGCAGGGCCCTGGTGGTAGCTGGCAGGGTTCCACCAGGTCGGAGCCAAGGCCAAAAAGGCCCTGGTCGGGACAGCTGGATATCTCTGGGGCCAGGGATCACCAGTAGATTGCTCTCAGCAGAGCATAATGCCCTCCTGGGGACATGCACAACACTAAGCACTTTCTTCCCTGTATATCATATTGTTAGCACATGATCCTGTGCAAGTAGAGGTACAATACGTTTGAGTCAGCCAAGCAGCTATCGCAGTCTTTTCTTGCCTTTCTGCTTGCACAAGCGCTCCAGTGCAAACAGAAATAATGTGCTGCATCCTACCTGTTGTTCCCAAAGTACATAACCTTTGCAATTATCCTCATGCCTTTTGGGCACAAAGCGAAGCTGTAGTATGCCATTTTTTCCTGGTGGTTTTCAAAAATCTGTGCTTCATCTGCTTTGGACACACTTTTATTTTGACTAATTATTGCAGGAGATTTCTGCAAATGTTGTCAGCTGTTTTGTTCAATGTGCATTTCTTGCTAAATGTGACCTTGTCTCTGCCTTTTTGGGCAGATGGTATAAGACTATTCCAAATATCTCCTGTAATGTAAAATTATGCATATTTCTCTAAGAAGCACAAGTTGAAGAAATCTAATTTTTAAAGTGGTTAACACAGAGATTGGGCAGAGGAAATTGAAGCTTGAACAACTGAGTAACATTGTGACCCCCGGCATGAATTGCCATTTTTGAACTGTTTTTTTGCTGTTTCTGCACTTGGCAAGTCAAACCGTGCTTATAATTACATTCCATTTTAGTCATTCAGCCCTTGCTTGTCATGATTAATGAACCTTCTGACAGCAACTGACACAACGTTTTCATGCTTAGGAAAGGAAAACTGAATTTTGGGCCTTAACCTGTGTTTGAATAGGAAGGTCACTTGTCAGATACATTGTACAAATCAACAATTAAGTTAAGGACTCCAACAGGGCAATCCAAATTGCACTGTAAATCATACGTTTATAAATACACTTGTTGTGATAGAACCTTTTGTGACTAGAGAGGTGAAAAAACAACATTATAGAATATGTTTTATTAACATGATTTGTGTATCTGAGTGAATGTTTTTTTTGTTTGCTTTTTTCCTTAACATCTTCACAAATTGCCTTTTAATGGACACATACACTGATTCATCAGAGATATAAGAGGGTAGCTGTATAGGCAGAGCGCCCCTTCCTTAGACATTGAAACCTCTGAGAATTCTGATTACTGTTGTGAAAACAGAGTAGGGGCTGGTATGAAGTGGGACTAAATAAGTGCAGGACACAGATAATTTGCTTTTTAATATGGGGGTCCCTGGAACGAACCCCAAAGCATGTTCACAGTCCTCCATGCTGAATGTTGAGTATTTTCTGTTTTTATACATAGATTTATTCAAGTTCCAGTAGAAACTGTGCACAAGATACACAGGCATAAATTAACCAGTTTTCATAGGGGAAAGGGTGGCTGAGGTGGAGGGGTTATATTCTGAGGTTGTGAGTTTATTAGACTAGGAAACTTTCAAATCAAAACACATTAAACTTGTGTATCTTGTCTGAGACATAACTATCCCAGTACAAACATAAAGGAGGCTATTTATTGGATCTAGTACAGTTTAAGCCAGCAGTTTACATTTATTTCTGAGAAAGTGCCCAGACAAATAAGAAGTCATAGAATCATAGAATGTTAGAGTTGGAAGGGACTGTGCAGGTCATCTAGTCCAACCCCCTGCACTCTGCAGGAGTATACTGAAAGATAGCCCTACATACCTACAACATACCCGAAAGATGGTCGTCCAGCCTCCGCTTGAAAACGTCCAGCGAAGGCGCAGCCACCACTTCCCAATGCAGACTGTTCCACTGCTCAACCACTCTTACAGTTAGGAAGTTTCTCCTGATATTTAGCCAGTAACGGCTCCCTTGTAATTTCCACCCATTAGATCTAGTCTTGCAATCTGGAGCAAGAGAGAATAGATCTGCTCCATCTTCTACATGACAGCCCTTCAAATATTTGAAGACTGCAATCATATCCCCTCTAAGTTTTCTCTTTCACAGGCTAAACATACCCAACACGCTTGAGCTTGTTAACATCCTTCCTAAAATGTGGTGCCCAAAAAGTCTGCGAAACCAGCTTGATTTCTACCAAGCCTTAACTTACGCGTAATTTCCGCTGTCGTCAGAGTATCCTGCATAACATCCACCCATTGGTTTTCAGAGGTGAGGGCATCGGCTTCCCAGGGACTCTCAGTCATTGTCTTGGCCTCCACTAAATGCAGACATCAGATTCTTAGAGTTTGCAACAGGGAGGGTTTTATCTCTTTTGTATGCAACAGGGACAGTCCAGATGCAGAAACTTGTTTTGCAGGTATGCATTGGGAAGAGGAAAGAAATGCACAATAAATGGGGTTTAGACCCACTAAATAGTTTCAGTGCTAAGAAGAATTTGAGTGATATGAATGATAAGCCAATAACATAATAAGATGGGGAAATTGATTTTTTTTTGGGGGGGGGAGATTGTGCTCCCCAGTGACCTAGCTCTGGTCAGACTAACTGCTCCATAGCTGTATAAATGGAATTAAGAGAAATGCCAGAGTTACCTGAAATGTATTGTTCCTAATGTATATCTTTCTAATAATTAAATATTACTTCAGTTGGAAAAGTTAAAAGCAAGTCTGAATAATTAACAGGGTTAAATGTTGTTTGATATATCAGTTTACAGGTGAACAAAGCTGCTTCTAAGGGGTTAAGGGTAATAATAATTATCATATGGCAGAGTGTAGAGTAGCCAGGAGACCCTGAGATTGTCTGGCAGCTGCGAGTTCTAGCTCTTTGAGTGGTAAACTAGACTTATCTTTAAGGACTGAGAGAGCTCTGAGAGAACTGGGACTGGCCCAAGGTCACCCAGGTGGCTTCATGTGGAGGAGTGAGAAATTGAACCCGGTTCTCCAGATTAGAGTCCGCTGCTCTTAACCACTACTCCAAACTGGCTCTGTGGTTAAGGGTATCTTCCTGGTTTGGTTATGGTTGTAGGCATAAATCTGCATACTGCTTTTTCACTAAAAAACAATTACATTAATTGGCTCAAAAAGTGCCCATCAGTTTGTGCAAGAGGACACTGATTTTCACAGATCTTCACTTCAAAGCTACAACACCCCACATATGCCACATCCCACACTTATCCCAAACCCCCCCCCCCCCCCCCCCCCCCCCCACCATCATTTGGGGCTGCATCAGAGCTACAGAAGACAGTGGTAAGTGCCAGATTCTGCTTGCGCATCTTTGGCTGCATTACATTTCATGCTTAGTGCTTAAATAACCAGCATAAATTAACTGAGAGTAGTTGCCTCCTCTTTTTAAGATTTCTGCTGTAACAAACCAGTATCTCTCACATGCTGTGATTGATTTGGATAGATTTTAAATCTAACAGAACACAAACTTTTTTTTACTACAACTGTGCACCACAAATTTTATGGTACTTTTCAGAAATATCCAGTTTGAACGAAAGTTTAGCCGAATGCCAGAGAGAAAACGTACTCCTCCAGGAGGAGGTGAAGCAGTTACGGTTGATGTCAGGGGTGGCTGAAGCAGAAATCAAGCGGCTTCAAGCTTCTGTGCTGCGAGAGGGTGAATTACAAAACAGATGTCATGAACTGCAAAAAAAAACACAAGGTAAGAGAAAGTGGGCTGCAAATTTAAAACAAGCTGGAAGGCAGAATTTTTCAAAAGTGAGTGCGCTTCCTGCCACATTGGGCCATGCATTCAGACCCTTCCCCTATCACATTTTTTAGTTCATTGTTTGTGTCTATATGTGCTTCCTCCTCTGGAATTCTCAGCCATCAGGATGTTTTCTTTCCTTAATAAGCACAATTTTGTTTGCATGATTGCACCCCTGCACCTGCATAGCCCTTGCTAGATTTGAAGTAATCCACTAAAAGGGGGGGGGCAGGGAACCGGGTTTGTGAAATGAGGCTGTAAAAGAATAACACTGTGGGTTTGCACGGTAAATAGGTTTAAATGAAATATGCAGAAAAATGAGCAGGTAAAGAACTAGTGTGCATTCAAAAGTCTTTAAGAATCTCATCGGTCACATTTTCACCACAATGCTGTGAGGGAGATTTT